GACCGGTTATGTATTCACTCTTGGGAGTTCTGTAGTGAGCTGGAAGGCAACTCTGCAGTCGGCGGTGACATTGTCTACTATTGAGGCAGAGTATATGGCGTTGACAGATGCTGCTAAGGAGGGAATATGGTTGAAGGGACTGGTTGGTGATCTTGGTCTACATCATGATCAGGCAGTGGTGTATTGCGACAGTTTGAGTGCAATATGCTTGGCCAAGGATCAGGTATCATTTCTTGAGGACAGAGAAGAGGATTAAGGTGAAGAAGGTTGGCACCGCGGATAATCCTGCTGATATGTTCACGAAGCCGGTTCCACATGGCAAGTTCCAACACTGCTTGGACTTACTGAATGTCTTGAGTGGGTGACTCCGCCCTACGGGGCATTGATGGCGGGAGAGAGAGAAGGAGCAGAGTACATCATAGATTTCAGAGGAAGAGGATTCAAGTCAAGGTGGAGATTTGTTGATGTGACTTGAATCGGACTATCAGCCGCTACGACTGGTAATATGGGCTCAATGTTATTTGAGTTTGGGTTCTGGGCCTGGTCTGTAACCTTTTCTTTTGCCAGATTGGATTAGGTTTAGACCCACATGGAGAAGTACTATAAATACTTCTCATACTCCTCTGTAATCTGTAATCTCCTCAATATAGTGAAACTGGCTCTCTCTCGCCCGTGGACGTAGCTAACACACATCGTGTTAGTGAACCACGTAAATCGTGTGTCTGTGTTTTTCGATTCTCGCTTTCATACTCTCGCTTTATCGATTTCGGCGATTTCCCGATCCGTAGCAGTGCGTTTATAACCGTACTCTAGATTTGTAGAGAGAACACGGTAACAAAAAGTGCATTGGAATTCCATGAGAATTGCAATGCAGTTAAAACAAACTCTATGAGGTAGCTTTTTCGATTTGGCAATTTTTGGTGTTTTGGATTCAGTTTTAGCCCACCTAATAGCAACCTAAAATTATCAAAAAAGAAACGTCTACATAAGTGATATGAATGAAAATATGCTACATTGTTGAGATATTTGGGTTTCGAAAAAACTTATTTTATAATTGCATGTGGATATCTTAGCTTATTGCACTATGCTCTTAGTGGGGTCTGGACCGTAAATTTCGTGGACTTGGTGAATTATATTGAAAAGAACATGATGTATAGGAATTGTAATTATGCACTTACATGTAATTTTATCCAAAACACATATAAACACATTGATGATGGTAGGATTTGGGGCCAATTTTTTAGGGATTTGAATATTGTTGGAATAGACTTTATAGGGTATGGGTATTGACATTATATTCTATTTAGGCATTAGTTTACCTATTTATATGAGACTGATTAAATTAAACATACGAATTTTGACCAATTTGTAGAAGTTATAAAGTTTAGGTATAAAATTGTAAGGATGAAAATTTTAGTTACGGAATGAATTTTTTCATTGATTTCTAGGACTTCTATTCCGAGAATTAATTTTAAGTACTGAAATTTGAAAATATTATATGTACCAAAATCTTGATTTTATATGGTCATGGTATAAACCCAAACTTATGACTTAAAAGTCCAAACCAACCCAAATAAGTGAGTATGTCTCTAAAACTATAGATATGTACACACTTACCTTATATTTGAGTTTCGTACCCAACTTATTCTGATTTGGATGATTAATTACTCATGGGTTCGGTCAAAATTGTCATTTCTATCATTTTCGTTCCTAAAAACATCGCAACGAACCTCAATAGTTATTATTCATATTGTCAACTTCTAATCATAGTATGTAAATACTCTGTTTAATACACATATAATGGCCGCACGAATTTTATCCGTGTAAAACTTCATTATCCATATTATTGTGAAGTCATTTCATTTTTTCCTTTCATTTGATGGCTCGAGTACTAAACATGTATATTCATATTTAATAAATTTAATTGTTAAATTAACAATTATTTATATCTTATTTTATTTTTAAATAAATAATTTTTTTTAACTATTGACGTACTATTAAATATGCCATTAGTTTATAGACGAAATCAAGTATCTGTATGTATTATATACTTAACTTACCCGTACTGTATTTTACTAATTATTTTTCAAATGAATAAATTCAGTAAAAAATGAGTTGTTGACTTAATAATCAAAAGATAACTCTTTTACTATCATTCATTTCAAAATATTTATTAGGCATGGCAGTATAAAAATAATATTGAGGAAGTTTATTTTTAATCTTTGAACAATTGAAATCCTAAGCATAACTTGTACAAATCTTCACCTGAACCACTCGCAGCCAGTCGACACCCCCAACAAACCTATTGCTCATACATAACAAATGAACTACAATTCGTTCCCTGATCTATATAACATGACAACCAACCTCATATAATTATGAATCAGATTGTCATTGGTCAATTAAGTACTAATAAATTCATATACAATCAACTTCTTACTACGACACCCAAGTAAAATATATTGTCCATGCTTGCCAAATAAATTACGATGTTTAATATAAACAAATTTTCAATACTTCTGAAAATAAATGATTTATCAACATCATAAATTACATTTGTCTTCTCGAAAGTAATTTGTACTAAAGTTGTGCAATATTATTAAAAAATTTCCTCAAACACGATATTTTACACGGTTTTAGATTCTTCACCTTCTAAATCACAACTTAAAATCTTCATTCCATGTGACATGACATCCTCGCCATATGGGAATAATATGATATATTACAAAGGCATTAAATTGGGATGATATATACTAATTTGTTCATCTAATGTAAAAAATAAAGGCAAAATACAGCTGTATATCCACAACTATCAAGTTTGTGACAAATATATCCATAATTATCAAAATACACGAAATATCCAAAAATCGGAAGGTTGTGTGACAAATCTATCCACTTCCGTCTGAAACTATAACGGCGTGTCAGACGGCGTTAAATTGACTAACGGAATGTTGAATCGATGCCATCTCACCTGCCACATAAGCCAAAAAGCAACCAAACTTTACACGTAGATGCCAAATAGGCTAGTTGAATAAAGGCAAAATACAGTTGTATATCCACAACTATCAGGTTTGTGACAAATATATCCACAACTATCGAAATACACGAAATATCCATTTTCGTCCACTCCGTTAACTCCGTCAGTTAACTTGATGACTGGACAGACGGTGGATGCTTAGTTGGCGTGTTTCTGACCCCACTGAATGACGTGGATTAAAAGAGGAAAAAAATTTAGGCAAAATACAGTTGTATATCCACAACTATCAGGTTTGTGACAAATATGTCCACCACTATCAGGTTTGTGACAAATATATCCACAACTATCGAAATACACAAAATATCCATTTCCGTCCACTCCGTTAACTCCGTCAATTAACTTGATGACTTGACAGACGGTGGATGCTTAGTTGGCGTGTTTCTGGTCCCACTGAATGACGTGGATTAAAAGAGAAAAAAATATAAAAATCCTAAAACCCACAGACGGCGAGGCTAAAAATCCAAACCAGAAACATGCCCGATAACCACTGATCCTCCTCCGATCGACGCCTCCACCCCCAAATAACCCTACCCCAAGCCCAGATTTCGATTCCAACCACAATCCCCAACCATTGCCTCCCTTTTAATCTGACAGCTTCCATGCAGTCGGCGCCATGGTGATGCCAAGCTTGAATCTCAAACAAAAAAGCTTGAATCTAACCAAATCGCCAACAGATAAGACTGCAGCAGCGAGGTCTAACAGATAACGGTGTAAAGTTTGGTTGCTTTTTGGCTTATGTGGCATTTGAGATGGCATCGATTTAGCATTCCGTTAGTCAACTTAACGTCGTCTGACACGTCATTATAGGTTTAGACGAAAGTGGATAGATTTGTCACACAACCTTCCGATTTTTGGATATTTCGTGTATATCGATAGTTGTGGATATATTTGTCACAAACCTGATAGTTGTGGATATACAGCTGTATTTTGCCAAAAATAAAAAGAGTAAGATATACCATAGAAGCTTTACTTATATTAGAATTCACATGTTGTAGACTAAGTTGAAAATCTAATATAAGAAAAGAACGAAATAGCGCACTTGTCTAAGAAGAACTGATGGGTGGGAAGAAGAAATCTGTTGTCGTGGATAGCTTTAAATTTTGAATGGATGGGGTTCTAGACAGGAACCTCCTTATATGTTTGGTTTGGTTTAGATTTAGAGTAGATACCTACGAGTATTTTACATCGTGTCTAACCTAATGTTAGGCTTAATAGTACGTTAATATTCATAAATATATAAAATTAATTATTTTAAAAATAAATAAATATGTAAATAATAGTAAAGTTAGCAATTTAATTCATTAAATACGGATATTAAACGTAATATACGGGTTTTATACGTGTTTAGTACGGGAGACATCAAATGAACAGAAAAAATGAAACAACTTAAAAATAATACGAATACGAAGTTCTAAATAGTTAAAATACGTACGAGTACATATACGTGTATTAAACGAAGTATTTACTAACTATGAAGTGATGGCCAAGAGTTGGTGAGGCACATAGGAAATTTCACTAATGATGTTGAACTGTGTGGTAATGGTATAGTTGTTGGAGATTGAGAGCAGGGGCGGAGCTCCTTGAAAGGTAGGGTGGGCCCCACCCCCGAGATTAGTCCGACCCCTAAGACCTAAGGATATTTAGATAAAATTTGAATAAGTAGAACTCAATCAGAACATTAGTTCATACAATTATTATGTAGTCTACTAGTACTTAATTTAGTTTTTAGTCTGGAGCACCCAGGTTCAATTCACCATTACCTCACATTTTGCTTTATTTTTTAGTGCTCAATTATTTTGTAGACTATATTGAAAGAAAGGTAACAAAAACATTTAGTTTAGATGCTATTTTGAGTGATTTTTCAATGATTTCAAAGAACGTTGTATACTTTAAAAATAATTATTTTATTTTTATTTACATTTAATTATTTTCGACTCGATGTAGAAATTCTAACTCCGCCCCTGATTGAGAGGCAAGCACATCACTTGAGCGTAATCCGTTGAAGAACATACTTCAATCAAAGAATGAAGAGGTGATATGGGCAGGTGAGGAGGTGGACTTCTCACCATGGTCATAGAATCCACTTTTCTTCCTTCTTTTCCCCCCATTCAACAGGAACCCAGTAACGTCCACCCAAATTACAATAGGAATATGTCGGAACAAAAGAATGAAGATGACGACTAAAGATCGACAATGAAGGTGATACTGGATACATATCAATAACACGGACCATAAGAACCCCCCACGACACAAAACAAAACACTGCACAAAATTTCCCCGCCAACTTCCAGCAAATCAGCAACCTTGCCCCCAATGTATAGTGAACTCGCCCTTCCTCACCCCACCCTCCATGGTATCTTAAACAGCAATGGGAGTGTCCTATACATAATTCAATCACAGCGACAGTAACATTAGCGCACGGCATGATATTCTTTCCCAGAAGCAGAGCTAACAATGTAGTTGAATAGACATAAATATACATCTCCTGGGAAGTGGACTCTATGATGCAAACCTTATGCTACCACTCAATGCATTAGGATATTGATGAAACCAGGCCTTTCTTTACGCGACCACTGTAAGACTCAAAAATTTATAGCACTTGATTGCAGTAATCACTCAGGCCCATGAAGAGCACTTTCCAGTCTAGCCCTGAGTTCACACTCCTATTGACCACTATCTTATTTAGTGTCATGCAATATTAAGTTGCCACTAGTATCAAAACAGTAACAACAAGATATCATGCTACGGATTCACCAATCTTATAGATACTTAGTTTTCTGTTCATGACAGGGACAAAGCTAAGGGAATCCCCAACCACCATGACTATCGACTCTACCATGGTGGCAAGTGATTCAAGGAGCACTGGCCTGACTGGTAGCCCTCACAGGTGGATTTTTCCTCGATGGCAGTAGAGGAGGAATCTCCCTAGCCAAAGCTAATGGTTACCATAAGACTACACCCATCCATGTTTTTAGTGGCTTTGGTTTCCAGATATTTAGTCCTATTTTCATGTAGTGAACTAGTATTGGCTTTGGTTTCCCAGTGAATAGAGTGCATAGTGTCAGAGGGGCATCCCAATACCTTAGCAGCCAAGTTAGAAACAGCCGTGTTAAACTTTTCCCGGGTTTTCGCCCCAGCAACTTGTCCTGCCTTTGCCACTTTACCAAATGCACCATTGAGCCAAGATGTTCCAGCTGTCACATACCTATCCACGTTAAAAAAAAGAAGTTCGTTAGTACACTTCTCTATTTTCCTTGAGTGAGATTGAGCATTGAACTACTACAGGAATTGATTCACATTGAGCACTGTCATCCAGGAAGAAACTATCTAGATATATTCAAAGGTATGTTACTTAGAAAATATAACAGAGAAGGAAATAAACTGCACTAAATTCTGCAGTTCACTTCAGTTTTGCAATTGCTACTCGAGACGGATTAATTTAGCTGTCAGTAAAACAGCTTTTCGTTGCCTAACTAGAGTATATTAGGTTGACCAAACGAATTTACCTGCTGGATTTGACAGCTGATCCCGTATTATTGATTTTCCTTTCTGCTGCAAAGATTGCTGCCATTGTTCTATCCGAAACATGAAGTCTTTGATCAACTGACTTCACTTTCTCATTAACAGCTGAAATCCCCACAGTAAATTTCTCTGACAACTTCACTCTCTGATCAAAGGAAATGACCTTGGCCGATGCATTGGCAGTCAATCGATGCTTCTCATCAAATGCCTTAGCTTTATTCACTGCGTCTTGACTGATAGCTGACCCTTTAGCCAACATGGTTGTAACAACTTCTTGTGCTCTGTTGACATAAACTCTTTTCCGTGGTGGACTAGCTTTTTCCTGAAAAACACATACGGATTGTTCATACTTCATGATATAACAACATTGAAGAAATAATTTCCAAGATGCAAAGTATTAAAAAAATAAATAATAATGGTCATCATAGATACAATACAAATCCATGTTCTTAACAAGGGATGGTGTGAAGTCCAAAAGTGACTTCAAAATAAAACCAAGGCATTATAGGAGTACAACAGAACCCATAAAGGATAACTAACTAAGGACACTACAATACTAGTTCAGAGGCCTTATTGTTCATATGATTCTTCGGCCGTGCCATGGAGATGAGAAGCACTGAAATAAATCAATGGCAAATGCAGAAAAATGTTCACCATCCCCATAATTTTCAGCACTCAAATAGTCACCATATTTACCAGGATTGTATCTAACCACTTTCAATTACCTCAAAATGAGATGAAGAATTGTTGGAAGGACTAACAGAGACAGCATACTCCACCACCCTTACTTCCTGCACCAGTTACATGCAAGAAGGTTTAGTACTAGCAAAAATCACTTAAAAGGAGAAGGGCAGCTGACACCACCTGTTCAGCTTACCTGAGGCTCACGACTCGGATTTGGAGTATAGTCTTTGGCAGGACTAATTGTCACTATTTGGTCCACAATAGTTGCCCCCTGCATAAGATGTAACATACATTTACTTCACTTATAGATCTGTCGGCAGTGTGGTTGCTCTCATAAAAATGGTTGCCATCACATCCAACAGAAGAAAGGAACTCTCAGAGGCTAAATAGAACAGGGTCTTCAAACAACAGTCTTAGTTGTCCTTGCAAAACCATGAAGAGGACCAGTTCCTAACAGATGACTCGAATGTCAAGCAACCACCATTAATCTAATGCCTCGCAGGCAAATCTTGGAGTGTCCAACTTTAGTTGGGTCAGGGGATATGACTTCAAATAACACTCTTGTTACAATCAGCACTTTAAGCAAGTTTTTTCAGGAGAGGAGAGAAACACATCTCCAATTACCATGTCAAGGTTGACAGTAAGTGTTGTTAGGCAGGCTAACCAAGTGTCAAGCTATGACATTTTCTGACACTATGACTGCCAGAGCCCTTCTGGAATTTAAAATGGGGAGAATAAATGTTCGTTTACATCATCAACCTTATCTATTCATGCCAAAATGGCTCCTAGTTGTGTGGGCAGGGGTAAGGATACAGGAGAATCAAATAAAATTGATTTTGTTTGCATATCATCAGACCATATGAGGTGAGACAACTCAGTCCTAAAAGTCTTTAAGCTTTGTCAAATTCATGTCCATAACTAGATAGCTTTGACCATACACCGCTCTCCAAGAAAGAAGAAGATTAAAAGCTTATTAAACCCTGTCCGAGCATATTCAGAGTCACAACCAGTGAGCCCTAAAAGTATCATCTTTTCATCTTAGTTGCTAAGATTTACATGTACAAATGTAAGAATGCTGGGAAATATTGACAGGAAATAAAGCCATACATGCTCGCTAAGAGATTACATTGTCAACTTACCGATAATAGCAAAGCAATTTCAAGGGCTTTGGCGTCTTTGAATGTAACGAATGCTGACTTCCCATTCTCTCTGAAACCCGACCAAATACATATATAACAACCTTAATTAACCTCAAATAAGACAGATTACAGCAGGCGAAAGAAAAAAAAAGCTCCAACAAGAATATAATACAAATATACAATGATATGCAAATGTAGTTATTACCCCTGACCTTTTCCCTTTTCCATGTTAAAATGCCTTAAACAATACTGGAGTTCCTCATTCGGCTAAATGCAGATCCTAACGAGTTTTTCCCATATAAAGCTTCCACAAATCTTAACAGTAGCACTACAAGTAACCTTAAAATGAACTTCATCACCAACGGAGGCGGCCAAATGAAGCAAAAGTGCAGGAAGGGAAAAGGGGGAAGAAAGAAAAGAAGTAAGGGGGGGACAGTGGAAAAGTTACCGCCGGATCTCAATGTGTTCGATTTCGCCGGAGAAGGAGAAGAACTCGTGAATCTCTCTCTCGCCGGCTAGATCTGACAACCGCTCCACCTGAACCGTCCTGGTCTACACACACAACAAAAACCCACCACCAATTCAATCCGAAGTCCAAATAAATTCACAGAGAACCAACTAGGGTTTCTCCCCCCCAAAAGCAGAGACCGCAAAAACCAGTGTCAGTCTCACCTGCATTGTGGTAGCTGATACCCTCCTCCGAATGAGCTGACAGAGCCAAGCTGTGAAATCTTTTTCCGCAGTCGAGAAGAGAGAGAGATAAGTTGGAGCCAAAGAATATGGAAAACGAAGAAAATGGGAATGGGGAATGAATGGAAGAAAATGGAGAAGGGAGGCAAGAAAAAGCCAGCGCCACGCCAGCTAGTGGAGAAAGCTACCCGACAGACAATCAGTCCAACTCGGAAGCGCGAGCAGAGAATGTGGGGCCTCCTTCGGCTGCTGCTGCAGCTACGCATGCCTTACTTGCTTTTTCCTCGTGATTACGCTTTGTTTCACGAAACGGTGGACAAGGAGAGTTTTTCTTCTGTTATTTTCATATCTATTTTTTACTGGTGCGCGGTTGTTTTTCTTTTTTCTTTTTTGGTTGATAGTGGCAGTTGGTCGTTGGGAATATTTTATGAACACTTTCCAAAATCATTTTATTTTAATAAGGTCGTTCGAATCCGGTCAATGATGATCGAAATAGACGCATCACGGGCCGGATCTGGTGTTTACATGGTATGTTGTATATGAGAATGTACTTACAGTCTTACATCGTCTATTGGTCTCGCATTCGTTGGATCGGGAAGGACATTTTACAATTGGATTAATTCCCTATGTTTGGCCCGGCTTTTAAAAATGCTTTTAGGCTTCAAAAGCTTAAGTAGGGCCAAACACCTGTAAAAGCTCGACTTTTGAAAAGTCGAAAAGCGCTTTTGTATAACATAAAAGCAGAAGCTCCGATTTGGAGCTTCTGCGAAAAGCTGTTTTGAAAATACAAGATTATCCTTAACATATTTTAATTTTATTTCAGAAAATATAATTTTCCTTCATTTATATCATTTTAAAAATAAAATAAATTATAAATCATATTATTTAATATAAAAGAAAAATCCATTTTGTTTACTTTTTATTGTTTAGAATTTTTATTCATATTTTATACTATAAGTCCTTTATAGTCATTTTACACAATCTTTCATATTAAAAAATACTTCTAATAGTTTTACACCTAAACACTCAACTGCTTTTTTTGAAAAGTACTTATCTAAAAGCTCCGGCCAGAAGCTGCTTCTGCAAAAACTACCGCAGGGCCAAACTAACCTATTGCATGATTTGTCATTGAAAGTTCATATTTGGTCATTTGAAATTGCCCAATCAGTCTAAATTAACCCAAAAATAATAAAATCCGACCCGCCATGTCATTATAATTCGCCATGTCATTTTGTCATCCCAACAATTGCACCCCCTAACTCTTATGTTATCTCTCTCGCCCGCTCCTCCTCCTCCGCCGCTCTGTTCCTTCTCCTCCCTTTATCTTGTCAAACAGATGATTGACCCTGAAGCAGAGCTGCTCCCCCACAAACAAATGATTCTCCGCCAGATTTCTCTATCTCATGCAAATGGTCGGGTAGCGGTTGAAGGTAGCCGCCGAATTGAAGAACGAGGAAGCTTAAGCCGCTTTCGCTACTGTCCACCTTAGTCGCCGATCTAGATCTAGGAAAGAAGACGATGGTGGCAGTGCTGATCTGTTTGTCTGTCTTCCGTAGCGCCCTACCGGCGGTGAGCGGCAGTGGTGATCTAGCTGGCTTCCAATGTGTCGTGATCGTGGTAATAATACAGAGAATGTTCAATTATGGATTGGATTTTTCAGTTTTGATTGCGATTGATAGCTACTGCTGCCAACTAGGGTTTCGCTTTCTAGAGAGGGAAAGCCAACCACGTGTGAAGAGAGAAAGAGAGGGAGATTCGTGCAGACAAGAAACAAAACAGAGAGGAAAGAATTCTTTGAAACAAAACAGAGTGTTCAATTCTAGGCAAGCCAGATGCAAACCCATCCGTCTATCTTCATCCATACTGATAACTTCTACAAACCTAAGCTTATCACAGATGTCACTAGCTTGATTTTCACTAATTTGGGTTTCAAAGATAAATAATAAATCCGACTTATGAGTATGCAAAAGCATCGTGAGAGCTCATCTTAAGTGTTTGATCCTTGCCTAGCAGACATTCCACGAGAGGAGTTTAAAATTTTGATTGTAGAAAACCATAAGTAAAAGGAAAGGGAAATATGGAATAAAAACCAAAAGGAAAATCTACAAGGATACAAGGATCCACAACAGTAACAGGCAGCTTAGAGCGCATTAGTAGGGGTATCCAACCAATGATTGTTCCTCGGTGACCATTGTCTCGTCTACAAGGAGGACAACTTGGCTTATTATAGGTCTTAGAATCCTTGTTTCTACCAAAACTAGAGCAGCTTCCATGTCTTTTAAGGTAAGGGAGTCTCTAGGGATCTTATCTCGTTGGAGAATCTCTCTTTTCACGGAGTCGACGTTCATGTGTTTATTTTAATGCTTGAGGGGGACACCTTTCTCTTATCATGTGTCATTGACTTCTTACTTTGGATTTTTTGTGGTAGTGTGCACGAATAGAAGATGAGGATGAAACGACTGGAGGTTGGGGTCGACATTTTCCTTCTGATGTTGGAAAAGAGGGGGGCATCAATAGGCTTAGATGTGTCGAGGAGCTGAGTTTACTACTAAACACCAACTGGGTCGGGGGAGAGTTGTTGGTCAAGCTCCCTATTTAGGGCTCAACTGCTCTCCATTCTGCAAAATTAAATTTTTTGGAGGCCGACCTATGATTATGATCAGTCATTGCACACTTACTTTTGTTGTCTGCATTATTGCTAAGCATAATCGCCCTTTTTATCTTCCTTCCCATTTCTCCCCTGCGATGGTACTTCTTTCCTCCTGTAGTCTTCCTCTGTTTCCATTCTTAGGAGGATTTACACCCTTGATCTCCGCCTTTTGAAACATAATTCCCTAATTATGCCTTGATCGACAAAGGGCTTCATATTGTTTTTCTTGAATTTGTGCACATCCATGGTCCATAGCGAGTGGGAGGTTCCAACAGAGTATTGACTGCCGACATTTGCTAAGCTGCCTCCTTGATTTATCACCTCAAAGCATATTTGCGAGGAGCTGCACCCAAGCCACCACCGATTTATGTGTGGCTAATTATCCCACACTCAAAGCATATTTGCGGGAGGTTCTCATAAACAACTTTATGCTAGAAGCCATCAAGCCAAATCCTTGCGAAGTTCCCCCTCTGAGCATGCTCGGTGTGGTAATCTAGTTTTATCATCCTACCAATAAGGTTTCCAAGAGACAAAAGAACTTCCATGTGATAGAAGTGAACTGGAAATTCAGAGAGTTGCACCCAAGCCACCACCATTTATGGAGGTTGTCGGAGGGCCAAAAGGATGGCGACCATTGGTGAATGATCAAATAGTGGTCCAAAATCATCCCGGGACCCCATCAGAACGCTAAGGTAATATTGATCATTCACTACAAAAAAAGGGAGCTATACCAAGGGTTATGTAGCAAGGGTTTGATTAACCCCTGGTAATATTTTACAAACTCATTATACTGGGAGTTTATACCAAGGGTTTTAGAACCCCTGCTATAGAGCAACTCTCTTTCAATACCAACCCCCATTCGTTCACGATAGAAAAATCCCTTTCTAAAAAAAAAAATCTTAGATCTGCCCACCGTCGTTTTTTTTCTTTTGAGTCCGACTCCCAGCTCGGCATTGTCGCCGGATCTGCCCGCCGCCACTCCATTTCTACTTTCTTCTCTCCGATTTGAGTTCAATTAAGAGTTCGGTTTCCTCAGTGAACGAATTCAAAATCAAAATACATTCGAGGATTCTCTGGTCCCTCGTTCCTCCGAGCTGTGATTCTCGGCGCGGCGCCAGTCTCCGACATCTCGTTCTCTCTGCGCGGCGCTAGTCTCCGACATCTCGTTCTCTGGCGCCGATCTCTCCGGCATCTTGTTCTCTCCGCGCGACGCCAGATCTCCCCGACGTCTCGTTCTCTCCGCGCGGTGCCAGATCTCTCCGACGTCTCGTTCTCTCCGCGTAGCGCCAGATCTCTCCGACCTCTCTACACTCCGTGCGGCGCCCGATCTCTTCCATCCTCTCATTTTTTCCCGTTCTGGCTATAAGGTTATCTCTCGAATCGAATTAATTAGTGACAACGTCTATGGTTTTTGGAAAGTTAGGAGTCTAAGTACACAGACTGTAGTACAGACTCGTTTGATATGGTGATTTGGGGTTTAGGTTGGAGGTGTTGCGCATGGCACTTTTGTGTCAAGTGCACTGGGATTGACATGATCGATCTGTGCGTGTGTGTGTACCCGAGGGGTGTGTCAAGTCTGCATGGGATGCTAGGGAAATGGATTGGAGAGGACGCGGTTGCTTTCCGTGTTCCATAGTAGCTGTTCGATTCTTGATCATATGGTTGAGATTGTGTAAGCCTGTATGTCATTTCTTACCATTACACCATTGAGCAGGAGAGTCGGGTTGGGTACTTGTGTAGGTTAAGTTAGGGCCATTTGTCAGGTTTTGGATATTGTGAAAGCTGCAGTTGAAATGGCGAGTATGGCTGCTTGTTGCTGGGTTATCAGAATTCTATTGAGCTTCTCTAGTAATTTTGTTTATCCCACATCGCTGCTCTATTTGACTTAGCTACTAAATGAAAGATGTACCTAGGATTCATCTTTCCTTGTGCATTGCTTCTTTTAGCATCCTAATCTTCAGTTGATTTTGTTTCCTACTGATAATGGTGGATTTTTATGGTCATCACTCGAGCTTTCTGAACATGTTCCATTAGCTTTTCCTATATATGGTTTGATTTGATTGTGTTTTTTTCTTTTGTTTGGTTTGATTTTTTTATCGTTTGCTTATGAATACCATATTTATCGTGTACTACAGATGGTTTCGAGTTCAAGAAATTTGAGAAATGTGAGAATCGTTACTGAATCTAACGTTCAAGAACGTATGCAGCAAGGACACTCATTCTCCCAACGTGAGGAAGAACTGCTGACAACATTGGTATATTCCTGGTATTTTAGTCATATTATCTAATATAAATGTTTGGAAAATTACTTACAAGTATATTTGATGCTAGGAGAAAATGTTGCAAACGGTAATAAACGAGGGAAGACAAGAGTGCAAGATATCTGGAATATGGATGCAAGTGAAAGGATCGATGTGGAGGTTGACGAATTTGGAGTTCCTTGTGGGGAAGAGTCATGCTTGCTGTCATCCTTTCTTGGGACAATTGCGAAAAACAACACCTTGACTCCACTGTCGATTGAGAATTGGAAAAGAAAGGAGTTCAAACCATTTAAAAGACAGATACTAAGCCTTACCAAGGTAAAACCACTGTTGTATCCACAGTTTAATACCACTGCTGTTTCCTTTGGTTTATTCACTATATACTTATATTTCTTGGTCTTTCTTTGTGTAGTCAAAGTTCCGCTACCCTGTATGTTTAGAAAGGTGGATTCTGTTGAAATTCGAACCCCTGCTGTTTGTTTATGCTTCCATGAATTGGGGTGACTAAAAGTACCAGTTCTGGTGCATTTGTTCTAGTATTTTGCTGCCGCAATTTTTCTACAGGGTTGTTCTTCTTTTATTCCTATGATTCTGCTGCTGCAATTTTTCTGTAGGGTTGTTCTTCTGTTATTCCTAGGTCTTGTCCTTTTGCTAGTGATGTTGCCAGTTCAGTGATGTTGCCAGTTCAGAGTTAGAGCAGATATATAATAGTAAAAATCTTATTTGTGCAGAAAAGAAGTGCAGTAAACCTTATTCCAGATATCTTGCACACCGCTAACTCGGTGATGAACAGGTAAAATGGTAAACTGAAGTTGTTCAATATGATAGTGACTTTAGAATATATATCAGATGTCATCATTTAAATCATTGATGCGGGTCTTAACTCTTAAGTTGCTTGAAAAAATGGATGCTGCGGATTGACGTCAAACATGACATTTTCATCAACGCCCCTGTGCAATGATGACTTGATTTCTAGAGCTTTGTATATTTGTTAGAGTTGACGATAAAAAAATTTCATCAAATGATTTTCACTTACAATTGCTTTATTTGTGGGCTTTCTATTTGGCGTCTGAGTGCTGAAACTTTAATAATGTTGAATAAAATGGCCATAAAGCAACTAAATGCCCTTCTTATTTGTGAAGATGTACCAACTTTGAAAGGAGAGTTAAGTGAGGTGAAGAAAAAAATGGAGGTCATGGCAAAGTTCATCAGTAAGCAATTTCCTGGGCAAAATTGGATGGAAGATGCTGAAAACAATCCGGTAATTTCTCTCCCTTCCTCTTCTCTTGTTTGAGGTAGTTTTGGTGTTGCCTGGGCAAAATTGAATGGAAGATGCTTGAAATGACAAATCTGCCAGTTCCGATGTGTCTTTGGTGTGGTCCTTGTTCTGTTCATGCCATCGAATCGTTCTAAATTTGAAATAGTCAATTGTTGCTTCCTCTAATCTAGGCGTGACAGCTCCTAGCACTTGACTGCAATTCATCGTCCTCCGCTCCTGTGCTCTAATGTTTGGCCATTAGTTCAGATCCATATTTCGTTATAAATTATGGATCATCCGTGGTGAAAAAAGCTTAATGATGGCCAGCTTTTGTTTTTTTTTTTGTAGAATCTTATGTTTTACTTT